TGGCCTGTGATCATGAGGTGCGAACAAAATCCTACTGAGGAAATTTAAAGATCAAATTGGCTTTATTCAGTGATTCATGGGCCAGACAGCGTCCCATCTAGCAAACAGAAAGGTGCTCCCAGGGGCTGTACCAAGTGGAAGGCTTTTATTGGCCGAAGGGGTCAGGGACAAGGAAGAAGCAGATTACCTCATTTTTTGCAGAGGGAGGGAAGGGGTCTATGAGGCAGATTATCTCACTCTTGCTAACCAGGAAATCCCAGCCTGAAACCAGTTAAGATTGCGGTCCTGGAAGGGAGCTAAAAGTGCAGTCTTTTGCTGACATGGGGCTCGGCCCAAGTGACTTGGGGTCTGCTGATTCTTTTTTAAACAGATGTGTCAGTGCAGTTTCGCCAAGTATAACAAATAAACACTTGATAACGGCGGAGGCTGTGCATGTGTTGTTGGGGCAGGGGGTACATGGGGAATCTCTGTACCTTCCAACTTAATTTTATGATGAACCTGAAACTGCTTTACAAAATAAAATCTGTTTAAAAGAACGTTTACCCTGTATCTAATCAAGCCTTAAGACTAGGATCAGCATACTTTTCTGTAAAGAGCCCAACTATAAATACTTTTGGCTTTGGAGTCATACATGCTGTTACTGTGGCATGAAGGCAGCCTGCAGGCAGTATGTAAATGAATGGGTATGGGCCAGGCGACTGTGAAACTTTATTTACAAAATCAGGCATTGGCCCTGCCGGCCGTAGTTTACTGGTGACTCCTGCTTTACAAAATAGGCAAATGCAAAGCCTGAACAAACCTTGATAGGGTCCCAGTTTGAAAGAAACAGCTCTAAAAGACATTTTAGGGCTAATTAGGAAAACTAAGGATGCCTATTAAACGATATCCTTGTTTAAATCTTTATTGAAAATGCTGATGTTTTGTTCATATGCCGTTCAATTCCATTGATTGATTTTAAAATATGGGAATGGAACATTACTTATCTGACAGTTGAGTTCTTTGGGGCCCCCTTAAACTTTGTCCCTGAGACGAGTACCTCACCCACCTCGCCCTGGTCCCAGCCCTCACTTGAAGCATTTTGAAGATTAGCAGTGACAGGGCACCAAGAGCACTCACTGAATCTCCACGGCGGCGAGCAAATACATATTCATTGTCTTCACATTGCAACTCTGTGGAATGTAAGAAAATATTCTGTTTGAACATTTTCAAGTTGAGGTAAGTAGATAAATAAGTCTCTAGACTTTTAAAATAAAATACAGTTGACCCCTGAACAACAGGGCTTTGGGCTATGTGGGTCCCCTTATACGTGGATTTTTTTCGATAAATATATTGGAAAACTTTTTGGAGATTTGCAACAATGTGAGAAACCATTTTCTTTTCTCTAGCTCACTTTATTATAAGATTATGGTATATAATACATATGACATAAAATATGTGTTACTCGACCCTTTTTTATCGGTAAGGCTTTTGGTCAACAGTAGGCTGTTAGCAGTTTTTGGGGTGTCAAAAGTTATACATGGATTTTTGACTACACAGAGAGCTGGCACCCCTAATTCCTGCATTATTCAAGGTCAACTATAAAGTAAATTATTTTTAATTAAAAAAAAACTGAACTCATTGATACAGAGAACAGCTTGGTGGTTGCAAGAGGCAAGAGGTGGGAGGGTGCTGGGGGAAAATGGGTGAAGGGGTCAAAAGGTACAAACTTCCATTTTTAAATATGTCCTGGAGATGTAATATACAGCATGGTGACTATAATTTTACAATACAGTGTTGTATACTTGAAAGTTTCCAAAAAACTAGATCTTCCTTCTCATCCCAAGAAAAAAAGTTTGAAACTATGTGTGGTGCTGGATGTTAACTAGACTTATTGTAGCAATCATTTTGCAATATATATAAATATCGAATCATTATTTCGTACACCTGAAACTAATGTAATGTATGTCAGTTACATCTCAATTGTTTAAAACTCTCTATAATGTAATATAAATTCCTTCCTGTTGCAACTGGAGGGGCTGTATATTCCAATCCTCTTGTGACAGTCTGGTTAGTTACGGTTGTCTGGGAGTAATTGGTGAAGTGCCTCCTTTTGAGGTAGGGCAGGGATATGGGATAAGAATCATGATTAACTTTTCCTGCCTATGGTAGGAAATGCTAATATATAAACTGAGTAGTATGCCATCTTAAGCCCAAGGTTCCATTTTAAAAAACAGAGAGTTAGGAGGCAAGATTCCGAACTTATTTTATGGTAATCAGACAATAACCCACCTGCTTTTAAGGCAGGGCAAGTAGTCCTAAATGATATGTCCCCACTGCTTGAGGGTAACCACTCTCTTGGAGAACAGGATCAAGAAATTCCTTATGTTCCATTTATCTTGCAGAATATCTAAAGGTCAAACTATGGATAGTGACATAACATCCCTCACTAGAAAGAAACATCCTGAGACCACATGGCAAGCCTGTGCCTCCCCCCACTCTGCCCTTTGCCCCCTTCTTGAAAGCCTTAAAAGACAGAATCCTAAGCCCTTAAGCGCACCTCCTCTCTGAGGTTGCCTGCACTGCCCTTTCTTCGAGTGTGTGCTTTTTGCCTTAAATAAAGACTTCTTTCTGCCCAACCTACTGCGTTTTGTCTCTGCACTCCTCCAGTGGTATACGTCTTTGTTACTTTGCTATTTCATTCTATTTTCTAGACTTGGCCCAAGTCTTCACTCTGTCAGTCCTACTTCAGACAAGCAGGGAAGGGCTGCTGAGAGCTCTGATCTGATCTTGCAAGCTCCCGTCGCATGGGAGACCCGGACAGGGTTGCAGCCGTCGCATGGGAGACCCGGACAGGGTTGCAGCCGCGTGATCATGATCTGTAGCGGCCGGCCCAAAGATCCTCCTTTGCCTTTGGGAAGTTATCAAAACATAATCTCACTCCACCCAGTGCTCTGCAGCTCCCCCACATCCTGGGGTGGCAGGGGCTCCGTTCCCAGGCCATGCAGATCCAAGTGGATGCTGGGCGCCAGGTGAGCCTGGCTTTAGGAGTTGGCATGAGATTGCCCCATGCTGAGCAGGAGTTCAGTGAGCTTCCCTTTCCTGCCTCTGCTCTTCCTTGCTCTCTGCAGCCTGCGTGGCTGCTGCTGTTCACTGCTACTCTCCCCTTAATGATTTCCTTCCTTACCTAGATTCACCCAACCCATTGGTGAATTCTTTCTTCATCAGAGACAAGAACCCTCCCCTGTCCAGGCTGAGGTTTCATCTAGTGCACAGGGAGAGACCCCCCAGACGCAGCTGCCCGACACCATTTTTACTCTCCGAAAGTGTTCCAGTCTGAGTGATACATTACATGGTCCTGCTTAATGTGAGAGGGCAAGGGAGGCACTGCAAGGACCACACTCTTCTGGCTCAGCCTTGGCTGGCAGACCTCAGGAGAGTCACTCCTCCTCAAAACACAATGCTTGTCAAACACTCATAGCAGCCAAACTCTTTCTCAAATGAAAGCTCACTGCAAAAATCCCAACATAAGCAACAATTCAGAGTAGCATTTTATTAGTAAAAAATTTCTGTCCTATGTTCAAATTAGTATTTTGTACAAAGCAATTGCTTCTCACCAAGGCCATTGAGATGGACACACATGTTAAACCCAAAGTTGTAGCTGAAATCTTACTCTGCCACAATATCCACTTTACTTCTGGGTTGTGTAACCCCCTGATTCAGAGAGAGGTGGTAGTAAGGGTTCCCCTTACTATCTAAATTAAATGTCAGGATGATCCTAATTTAGTTATCTCTAACATCTGAAAACCTGCTGCCCAGCGTACCTGAACATGCATGCATTTTAAAAATTACAGCCTAAGATATTATTTAACAATGGACCTTGATGCTAGCATTTGCTGAACTGCCAAAGCCCTCCCTGGAACCCTAGTTTGGGAAATGATTGAACCAGACTGTCAGTGGGGTCACTCCAGCTCAGAGTCCTCTGTTTCTAAGGTTGCTCTTTCTGAAACTCTGTCTGGAACTCAACAAAGGGGAGAAGGAATAGCACCTTGAAGGTTTGGACTCTCCTATCTTTATAGCATAAGCCCCAGAAAAAAAAGCAGGACTTTTAGAAGGTTGTGGGCAAAGAAGAAAGATCCATTTAAGTGGAATGAAAGATGTTCTGACTGTTGGACTTGTATGACGCTGGGATGGCCCAAAAGCACAAAGCGAGATGTTGGCCATCTTTGCTTCAAAGAGCTTCCAGTTTTTAAGATAAAAAATCTTTACCTTCCAAGTACTCCCAATGAGCACAGGAGTAGGGATGGGAGAACTGTAACAGGCTGATTATTTCAGTGCCAGTATGGGTCATGAATTCAGATCGTGGACTAGAGTCACGCAGACCAAATGTACCTGTAGATGTAGGTTTAAGCCAAATGCCAACTTTTAAAAATGAGACTATTTCACATAAAAGTCTGGATTTCTTAGACAACAGAGACTCTAGAATCACTCCATGGAATCAGGGTGTCCCTGCCCACCCAAGACAGAGTGTGTGCCCTCCGCATTCCCATGGTCTGCAACATTCTCTCTTGCTCACCCTGGTGCATGGCAAGCATCAAGATTGCTTGCTGGCCCCTGTGAGCATTTGAGTGTGCCACTAGTGGAACAGACAGTTGTGCTTCCAAGATTAAATTGGAGGAAAGAGGTCCAATAAGGACTGGGACAGGACAGCTCCTAGTTCTCATTTCTCAGAGCTCTTGCACCTCAGGCCTTTGATCTTGAGTAAATCAAAGCTGCCTCTGCATGAATCAGTTTTGTTGTCTGTAAAATAAATGCAGAAACTCCTGTCCCCCCCCCCCAAAGTATGGGCTGTAAGGATCAGACATAGCACCTGATGCTTTATACATTGAAAAGCTCTATAGTCCACACGTGTGGTTTGGTTGGTCTTATATCCATCCATCCCCCTCTGCCTAGTGCCAGGACCCTAGGCTCCCTCCCGGGAAGAGCCTCTCCCAACGTAATTGCAGGGAGTGGCGGGGGGGGGGGGGTGGGGGGGCGATGTTGATTCCAATTTCACACTGGGTCAGGTCAGCCAATCACAATGCTGCATTCTCCCAGGAGCAGTGGTTCTGTCCTAGTCAACTGAAGCCAGTAGAATTGGGGTCAGGACTTTGATTCAAACTGCTGGTTAAAGATCTTTTCTCATGAACTTGGCTGCTATCTTGCTAACCTGGGGGTTACAGGTCTGTCAACAGAGCCAACGAGGAGGAGAGAAGAATGGAAAGATGGGTCTGGGTCATATGATCTGTGACTTTGGGTCCAGGTATACATCAACACATACATTTCCTTTGCTTTAGGCAAATTGAATGAAGCTCCATTCAACTCACGGGAATGCTCAGTTCCATTTCCACTCACTGGAATCCCAGCCCCACCCCCACCCCCCACCAAGGGGTTTCTATACTAGCAGGCAGACTTGTGAGCGTTTGTTTGATTTGGACTTATTTCCCTGGGCACTCCCTGATCTTGAATCCTGCAGGGCTCCTGCAGCCGCAGCCACCTCTTCTCTGTGCCTGGCTTTGACCATCCACACTGCTTTCTTGAAGTTCTTGAGAGGGTCCTGCTGTGAGGCTCTTGAGGAAGGGCACTGGAAACGCTCACGGATGAGATAGCCATGTCTCGTGGGGGCAATGAAGCCATTAGACGTCGGGATGATTCTGTCCACCATGGCATGGACGAACTGGACAGCCAGCAGGGTGCCTGTGGGGGATGTAAGGCAGAGAACAAATGAGAAATGGGGGCCACAGAGATCCAATCTCGCACATTTGAGAGTTGGCTTCATGGGGTCAAATCCCAGCCTATGCCCCTGACTAGCTTAGGCATGGCATTCCACTTCTTGCGGTCCCTCTTGCTTCATCTGCAGTGTGGAAACGACAACCTACCTGCTGAGGGGAATTCTGGAGGTTTGAATGTCATGCATGTCAGGTGCTTAGTATTGGTTTCAGCCCAGAATGAGCTCAGTACATTGCTAAAGGAAGAGTAGAAACAGAGGCTGTGAACCTGCCCAGGATGGGCTTTTAAGGCCATGACCCTAAGCTGCTAAGACCCATGACCTCAGCCACTAAGCCATTGGTGACTGCTGGCCAGGCATATTTGCTACAATGTAACAGACTACAACATACCTGATCAGGATGTATTCCATCACAGTGTATCCAACTCTCCCTGATATGCATTCAGCCACTTGCCTGCTGTGTGACCTTGGGCAAATCTATTACCCTCTCTGAACTTCAGCTTCTTCATCTCTCAAATGGGAATAGCAACGGTGCCTACCCCCTGCCAGTGTCATAGGTGTTCCCTTCTCTAGAGAAGACCGTGTAGGAAGGTGACAGAGGTGGCCACGGGGTCCAGGTGGACCACCTTCAGACCGGAGCCTACCAGTTTCTCATTGCGTGGCTTTGGGCAGCTCACCCCATCCCTCAGAGCCTCAATTTTTGCTCTATAAAATGGGAGCGACTATCAAGAGAATTAAATGTCTTGTTGACAGTACTTGCTACACAAGACATGTTAACTCTCATTAGTACACCTTCAGGGTAATGAACAGACCAAGGGGAGTGGCATTTTCAAAGTGATTGGTCTTAAACAGGCCACCCTTAACGTCTAGAGGATCCGGGACAAGAGAATGAATCAAGGCCTATATCTTGTAAGACGTAATGTGTAAATATTGCAAATATAGCTAATAAACTATTAAATGAAATATGCTCCATCCTGCTACATGATGGATGTGCCTTTGGAAGCATCTGGAAGTCAGATTTTGGTTGAGAATTGGGCTCTTCAGTTGCATTTTGGAATTTACGTTGTGGTGTACAGAGAATATGATGCGGAAAAGCCAGCACCCAGCTGTTTGTGGCTTGGCTCCCTTCTCTTCCTACATCCAGCTGCGTCCTACACCCCAAGGGGCCTCACACACGTCCATGTGAACATCCCCTGCACACACCCAGCTCACACATCCATACTCCATTCACACACCCCATGGCCACTCCCTCAGCTTAGGAGCATGCACACCGGGAGTGCAGCCCACCATCGGAAGGATGAGGCCCGCAGACCCTGAAGAGGGCTCGAGCCCACCGGGAGGGTGTTCTGGAGTCCCAGGCACCCAGAGCATGGGTCTAGAAGAGGAGGTGCAGCTCCAGGTGGGCCCTTCCCCTTGACCTGCAGACATCTCCCTGAGTGGAAGGACCCAGCTAGGGGAGGCCAGGGTGGGACCCTCTAATGCCCAGTGTAAGATAAATTCTAGCTGAAATAGGCAGGCAACAAGAGGCAGCAAAGGGCCAGGCAGTTTATTTGAGCGCCATTCCCGGGTGATATTCCCCCGTCTGGCTATCACAGGCCCGGGAAGTCACACTCCCCAGGGCAGGCAGCGAGTTTTTAAAGGCAGAGGGAGGGAGAGCTTAGATTTACAGGGGCGCTACGATTGGCTAGCCTAAGGCACATTTTTCAGGTTGGGAGAGGGCAGCAGCCGGGGACTTTGGCACGTCATCAGTGTCCGATGTGCTCATCCCTCCCCCCAGTGCCTTCAACCTCACACCCAGGACCTGCGCAGGGCCTTCTTCTCCAGATGTAAACCCAGTCCTGCCCTCAGAGCAGAATAACTCACCGTCCAGCACACTCCAGACGATTATGGAGCGATCCTTCAAGCCCGCGTACACGTACTTGTCATCCTTGGAGAAGCAGATACACTGGACACCTTGACAGTAAGAGCTCTGAGAAAAAGACAATGTGATGATGTGGGTTTCAGACTGCAAGGCACCCAGGAGACCAACCCAAATGCAACTGAGTAGGAAGCCAGGCTTGTAAGCACCCCACAGAGGAGGGATCACATGAAAACCCTGCAAGCTGGGTGGAACCAGTGTTCCCAGGACCAAAGCACATCTTCATAGAAGCTGGATGGAGGGAGAGATTTAGAGACATTTTGCATTTAAGAGTGGGAACTATAGGATTTAATCTCTTCAGTGACTTCAGGTATACAAGTATTAGCTACAATTGTCTTTAATTAAAGGCTATGCACTAAATGCAATATGGATCCTAGACCTGTTCCTACAAGAGAAAAAGGGAATATGTCGAAAAATATAGTTGATATCAATAAAGCTGATAGTTTAGTTAATACAGTATTCCCCCTTATCTTTAGGGGATGCATTCCAAGACCCCTAGTGGATGCCTGAAACCACAGATACTACTAATCTCTCTCTATATAATGTGCTTTTTCCTATACATACATATCTGTGATAGACTTTAATAAATCAGGCATAGTAAGAGAATAAGTAATAATAACAATAAGAGGATAACAAGTAACAATAAAATAGAACAATTATAAGAATATACTGTAATGAAAGTTATGTGATATGGTCTCCTCTCAAAATATCTTATTGTACTTGTGATAATGTGAGATGCAAAGATGCCGACACAATGGGATGAAGGGAGATAAAGAACGGAGGCCTGTGACCTAGCATTAGGCTATTATTGCTCTTCTGACAATACATAAGGAGGAGGATCGTCAGTTTCCAGATTGCAGTCATCGGGTAACTGAAACCGCAGAAAGCACAATGTCAGATAAGGGACTACTGTTAGATTTCCCATGTTAATTTCTTAGTTTTAATAAACGTCACCTATTACAGAAGATGTTAACATCAGGGAAGGCTGGGTAAGGGGTATGTCAATGGAAACCTTTGCACTCTCTTTGCAATTTACCGTCAGTCTAAAATCATTATGAAATTCGGTTTATTTAAAAACAAAAACAAAAAGCTAGGTGTATTTATCTGCTGTGGTGACATTTCCCATCTCAATGAAGCAAAAGATGACTTACATCCCAGACTTATAGTGGCTTCATAAAAATTAATACGTGGGTGGGATGAAGGCTGTTTAAAATGAAACTACACATACTCTGCTCTCTTAGTTACAAGACTGAGATCATCTGCTTTTTAACTGTGTTTATTTACATCTTGCAACCGAAGGTATGGCTTTTGTTTTCCACCTGAAAAGCTGGGGAAAATAACACCAACCTTAAAAGAGTGTCATGAGGATTAAATTATAAAATGATATTTTAATGTGCATATTTTTACATAATGTATAAATAATAGGAATATATAAACATATAATATAGCTCCTAATAATATTCACATAAAAATTATAATAGCTCCTTAAGAGATGGACAATGTGAACTATTAGGTGCTTTGTATATAAAGGAATCACCAATTTCCTTCTTCAGAGCCTTCACAACTGCTGTTCCTTCTGCCTAGAATGCTGTTCCACCAGATTTATTTAACCTTCTTAAATAGTGGCCCTTGCCACTTCCTGCCCCCTCTGTCTTGCCCTGTTTTTCTTCAAAGCCCTGTGGCTTCCCAACTCATCACGTATTGGGGGCTTTGTCTTTATTTCACAAGCATTGATTGAGCACTGAGGATACATCAGGGGCTCTCCCAGGGACAGGGGCCACCTCGGCGAACAGACACACAGAGATCCTCCCCTAGGTCATGTGATCAACACCAGTGAGTGAAAGAACAGCCCAGTCAAGATCAGGATGAAGAGAGTAAGGTAAGGCTGTGTCAGTGTAGGGTTTGATCCTGTCTCTAAATTGTGAATATTTTGTTCCTCATGGATTTTTTTGCATTTGTCTTGAGTTCTTTAAAACGTGGGTTTAAATTCTATTTCTCTTGACTGCCAAGTTGTTTAGCACCCCTTAAACTCTGCACCTAAGACAAGTGCCTTCTCACTGACCTCCCCTGAGTCCTGACCACGGTCAATGGCACATAGTGTGCGCTTAATAATTGATGCCCAGCATCAGCTTCCTAACACCAGGACATCGCATGTGTGTGGGGTGGCAGGTCACGCACCGTGTAGTTCATCTCAAATTTCCACTTGCACGCCTCTAAGTCCCAGAGACACAGCAGAGATTCCTCGGACCCACTGACTGCCAGCTGCTCCTTGTGGCTGACCTCCACGCAGGTGACCTGGCTCCCATGGGCCTCCAGAGGGAACACTTTGGAATTTGCGCACTCGTAAAGGAAGAGGTCGCCACTGGTCATGCCATAGATCACGCGGGAGTCAGCCAGAACAGCCACGCTGGATATGGTTGCGGGCAGCTGAGTATAGAAGGTGTATGTTGGCCCATCAATGACCGGACAGGGTTCCCCAGGGCTGATGTCCAGCACGAGGACAATGCTGTCATAAGCAATGGCCAGGTGCTCCTCGCCCTTGCTAAGGGCCATGCAGTTGATGGCTTTCCGGGCCTCTGGAGGGGGGATGCACAGCACGTCCTGTCTGGAATTCAGGGGGAACACCAGGACAACCCCCGAAATGAGGCCAGTGAAAAGGAGATTGGCTTGCTGGGCAACCTCCAGACACCTGACCTCACTGGGCATGTCCACGGCATCTTGTTCCTCACCTGCCGAGAGAAGACAAGTCAAGAACAGATCACGGAAATGCTGGTTCCACAGTTTTCGTACTTGAAGCGTTTTTTTAAAAAACTTTCATTGTCTGTACTATTCCACTTGGTTACTGTGATTTCCCGCTTCCACTCCTGCATTCCAATCATCCAGACTTCAAAAAATGAAAATTGCAACATCTCACTGCTCTATCTCGTGCCTTCCGATGACCTCCCAGCCCTCTTAGAACAATTGTACGTGCCTTTCCAAGGTCTTCAGGGACTCACATGACCTCTCATCCCAAATATTTCCTTTACAAGCTGCTATAAAGGGTTGGAGAATAAATGTTTTTGTTGGGGAGGCTGCACGCTATGCGCTGCAACCACTTCACCCTGCCCTTTTAGCCACAAAAGCAATCACAAACAATACGTAAAGAATACATGTCTGGACTTGGCCCGCCAGCTGTAGTTTGCAGACTTCTATCTTATTCCCCACCACACCTTGCATCGTGCTGCACTCCACAACTAGCAGGTAAGCACTTTGAACACTGCAACTTCATCTGTCTTGCTCACTGCGAGTCCCCAGAGCCTGGCCTTGTGGCTAACACTAAACAAATGTCTGCCAAATCCATGATTGCATGGACTTGAGAGTGAATTTCTTTGCCCATATTATTTTTTCCTTAACAGGGGATTTCTCTACCTCCATCCGCCCAGTGGGAGCTGCAGCACACACTGCTGGTGACATGCTCACACACGCCCCCTTGACCAACCAGTTCACTCAGACCCAAGGCTGCCCCCTGCCCTTGGATGAAGGGAACCCCTTATCTGGAAACGCCATGGGGGCCTGTGCCTGACAGCCAGGATGGCCTGCAGCCAAAGAGTGTCTGATATGGGGTACAAAAGATTGGCCTCTTTGCTTCAAGGTGGGACAACTCCAAGGTGTGATTCATGCCCCAGGGCTACCCCTGGGATTAGGCTGAAGCCGGCCGTCAGCTGAGCCCACATTCTTCTGGTCCTGTTCACTCTCCTGGGCCCCCTGGGGGATTGGGCTGAGCCCACCTCCTGGCTCGGACCCTCTGCCAGCCCAGCCTGCTTCCCCACCCCGTCTCAGGCTTTCCCTAGAAGCTCCTTCCATGCACGACTGGTGCCAATATCCCCATCACACACCCTGCTTCCAGGAAACCTGAACTAAAACTGGGACAGACAGCCAGATAATCAACTCTTATAAACTGGAAATTTATAAAATCAGGTCCTGTTTTGTACTGGCCACTTTCAACCTAATTGGAGATATAGGGTATTCTGGACTGGATGTTTGTGACCAACTCCCACCCCCCGCCCCAAATTCATGTTGCAATCCTAATCCCTAAGGTTAGGAGGTCAGGCTTTGGGGAGCTGATTGGGATCAATGCCCCTCTAAGAGGAAGCAGGAGAGTCTGTTTCTTTCCCTGCTCTCCGCCACGTGAGGACACAGCCAGAAGATGCTGTCTGCAACCCAAGAAGCCAGCTCTCACCAGACACAGATCTGCCTGCTTCCCAGCCTCCAGAACTGTAAGGCATAAAGATCTGGTTGAAGCCACCCAGTCTATGACAGCATTCTGTTACAGCAGCCCGAATGGACCAGGACAGGGGCTTCTTGGTCTTACTCACACAAATGACCGTGCTTACAAACCTTCTGCCAAGTCCCAGATGGTGACTTTGTTTTTGTCCCCAATTTTGGGGAAGTACACGTAGCTTCCGTTGTGGGACACTGCAGTGAGGCCAGTGCGGTGCAGAAATGGGGTAGAGGCCCGTGGCTGCTGAGCATAGGTGAGATCCCAGACTTTAAAAGACGAGGACTGCTGGGAAGCAGATGCCACCAGGGCCCCACCCTGGACCAGCAGGCTCACAGGGGCCCCGACACCCTCCAGGATGTCCAGCAGGGTACCTTGCTCCGACAGACTCCACACCTAGGGATGGACAGCAGTGGAGCACAGATGACTTCTTCCTTACGCTGCTGTAGTTTGGAAATATGCTTAAGCCCATTCATCCACCTAAGGTAAATTCTTAGGTTGTGGTTCAGTGGCCTTCACATATCCCCACACCCTCAAACTTCCCCACATCTCATCAAACCACTACTGTGGCAGTTCTCAAACTGTGTTCCAGGGAACCCTTTGGGGGGTGCCCCTAGGTCTTTTCAGGGGAATTGGCAGAAGCAAAACTATTCTCATAATAATTTAAGGTGTTATCTGCCTTTTCCAGTCTCTTTTTCTCACAAGTGAGCAGTGGCATTTTCCACAAGCTACAGGACATGGGCTATCACAACAGACAGAAGAATGCAGAATTAAATATGAGAATACAATTGTTTTCTGTTGAGTCGAACAGAAAAGAGATTTGCCAAAATGTGAAACAATACACTTCCCAAGAGGCTTTTTGGTATGTTTCAGAAAATACAGCTGTTTTCATAAAAGTATGTTATTATGTTGACATGTCATGTTAATGAACTAATAGGAATTAGAAAAAAAGGACATTTGAGGGAAAGCTTGTGAAATCAGAACAAAATCTGCAGATCAGTTAATAGCATTGTCCCAGTCATACTTTCTGGGTACGATGAAGGGATCTAGGTAGTGTGAGATGCTAATGGTGGGGCAAGCTGGGTATATGGTGACTCTCTATGCTCTCCTACACTGTTCCATAAATCTTAAAACTATTCCAAAATAAACCATTTGTTAGAAACATGTATATAAATCAAATCTATGTAACCCACATAAGCAAAAGCTCTTTGGGATCCTTACTCATCTTTAAGAATATAAAGAGGTCGTAAGACCAGTAAGTTGGAGCAATGCTACTTGATCAGGTGCTTTCCTTGTAAACTTTGAACTTAAAGGGAATTTTCATCCCCTGTCTCACAACTCTGCTCCACTCTGAAGGCCAAAATCCTCTCAGGCTTTTAGGTTTGGTGGGAATGCCATCTCCTTCATTGAACATTTTGGTAAACGCCCCAAGTCTGTTGCTGGGTCCCACGAGATCCCCCTCTCCCCAAAACCATTACCCTCTCCCAGTGAACTGCCCTGTTTTTATCAGTTTCTGTATTTTGAAGCCAAAAGATCCTAAAGACTCATACTTTGTATTCTTGAGGTGGGGGTGAGGGTGACAGGCCCCGGTCTCTCCCTCACCTGAATGAGTGCGTCCCGGGACCCTGTGACAATCAGATTGTTCTCAGGACCAAACACGGCTGTCTCCACGGTGTCCTCATGTTCAAGGTCAGTGGCCATGAATCGGTGAAACCCCTGTGAGTCGGCCAAGTATATGCGCACGGATCTTCCAAAGCCTGAAATGGCAGAAATTAGGGTCATGCCTTTCATTCCTGGAGATGCTTGAGAGAAACTTAATTCAGTCCACAAAGATTTTTTTCTTTTTTGAGCACCTTTTAGATGCAAGCAGAAGAAATATAGTGGTGAATAAGACAGACATGGTCCCCATCCTCACAGAGCCTACAGTTGGGGAGGGACAGGATCAGTAATCTTGGAGAAAACCATAAAATGATTAATCATCACAAGACTGTGAGTCTCCAGAGGCTGGAACTGCCTGTGTGGGCTGTTCATGGTCCCAGGGCCCTGCACAAAGCTGGACACAGGGTAAACACATCTTGAAGATAAAAAGAAAGTATGAAGAAAGAAAGGGAGGGAGGGAGGAAATAAAATGGTTACAATTTGTGAAAAGGGCAGACAAGTCAGGGGACTGGGTGCCATGAGAGAAAATGACACAGAGATACACAGGCAGAGAAGATCATGTGAAGACAGAGGCAGACAATGGAGAGATGCGACCACAAATCAAAGAATCATAAGGCAGAATGTGGAGGAGGCAAAGATAGATACTTCTTAAGGTTCTGTAGAGCCTTAGGAGGGAGCACAGCAGAGAATGTGTCACCAGATTTAGCAAAAACACACACACAAAAAAAAATAATAGGACACCCGATTAAATTTGAATTGTAGATAAACAATGAAATTGTTATTGGCGTAAGTATATCCTGAATACTGTGTGGGATATACTTATGCTAAAATCTTGATTAGTTACTTGTCTGAAATTTAACTGGGCATCCTTGATTTTACTGGTAACCCCACTTGGGTACCAGATATGACCTGGGTAAATGCATTGTTGAGGATCCTTAGCAGTGGAAGGAGGTGGGTGAAGAACAGATTGTGCGAGTCTTCTGAGGCCTCATCCTGAAGACTAATCATGTCCCTTCTGCTCAGTGAGTGAGTGAACCAGAGACACACCCCAGCGGCTAGCAGAGCGACTCAGCTGTTTGTGTGTGTGTGTGTGTGTGTGTGTGTGTGTGCTCATGCACATATTTTTATTGTCTTCTCTGAGTAGGAAGGAAGCTGCCTCCTTACTTTAGAAAAAGATTTCTGTCCCTGGAACACCATAGGTCACGCACTGAGTCGTCCATTTCCACGAGCACCAACAGCTCAGGTCTGGGTGTAGCTGCTGGGTCAGCATGAACCCCACTCAAGTAATTACATGGGAATTATTGTTTACAAGATAGGCAGGTCATCAAGTCTTCCAGATGTTTAGAAAGAAAATGTTTTCAGTAAAGAAACAAATATTCAGCATCATATCTGAAGGTGCAGAGTCAAGCCTAACTGCATTTAAATTCCAGCATGTATGACCTCAAGCAAGTTACCTAACTCCCCATGTCTCAGTTTCCTTGTCCACCATCGATACTTAAAGTTGTGCATCTCCCAGGGCTATTGAGATGTAAAGGAACATGTGTAAACTGCTTAGGAAAGGTTCTGACAAATTGTAAGCACCCAACTATTTGCTACTATCATTGTAAGGTTGACACACAATGCTGTGCTAGGTATGTACCTGGCCTGCATCATCTCAGTGTAGCCTCCTGACAACCCCTGAATCAACTGAGGTCAATGCGAAGTTGGAGGCTGAGCATTTGTGCCTTTCTATGCTCACCATGGAATTTCTTTTTTTGACTTGTGCTTGAATGTGAGGCTCACACAGAAGGATGTTATGGAAAACGAATGAAATGCATCAAAATATCTACAGTCCAAGAATATTTGCATTACATTCTTGTGCAGTAAAAAGTTAACTCAGCAGTCTGGGTGTGGATTAACTCCATACTCTGTACATGAAAGGTCTGGTCCATGCCTGGCTCCTGGGTAGCACCCTAAGCCCACAGAAAGCCCTACCTGATAAGAGTGTCTTGGTTTACCTCAGGCGACCTTGGGTGGTCTGTGCTCACAGTGTCATTTATGGTGGCAGCCTTGGGACATGCAATGTCAACTTGAGCCCAGGGGGATGCTGCAGATGAAAGTCAGCTGTGTAGGTGGTCAGCCATGTCTATGTGACCAACCGCCAGTAAGAATCCTGGACAGCATGGTTGGGTGAGCCTCACTGGCTGACAGTACACCGTACATGCTGTCACACGTCATTGCCAGGAGGAGTAAGTGCTGTCCATAGAACTCTGCTGGGAGGGGACACCTGGAAGCTCGTGCCTGGTCTCTCCTGGACCTGCCCCATGCACTTCTTCTCTTAGTTGCTTTTAATCTGTATCCTTTGGCTACAATAAACTGCAACTGTGAGCACAACAGCTTTTCAGAGTTCTGCAAGCCCTGGTGGTGATCTTGAGGATTCCTGAACCACAATTCTGTTTATGACACTTGAAAGAAATACTTGCCTGACACATGAAAAGATGCTCCACATTGCTAATTATCAGAGAAATGCAAATTAAAACCACAATGAGATATCACCCCATACCAATTAGGATGGCCAACATCCAAAAGACAAGGAACAACAAATGCTGGTGAGAATGCAGAGAAAGGGGAACCCTCCTACACTGTTAGTGGAATGTAAATTAGTTCAGTCATTGTGGAAAACCTGAAATACCATTTGACCCAGTAATTCCACTCTTAGGAATTTACCCGAAGGAAACAAGATCTCAGATTCAAAAAGACCTACGTTTATCGCAGCACTATTTACAATAGCCAAGAGATGGAAGCAACCTAAGTGTCCATCAGTAAATGAGTGGATAAAGAAGGCGTGGTACATATACAGAATGGAATACTATTCAGCCGTAAGAAAGAAACAAATACTACCATTTGCAACAACATGGACAAAGCTGGAGGGTATTATGCTCAGTGAAATAAGCCAGGCAGAGAAAGGCAAATAGTACATGATTTCACTTATTTGTGGAATCTAAAACCAAACCAAAACAAAATGAACAAAAAACAGTAATAGACTCATAGACACTGAGAAGTGGCTGGTGGTTACCATGGGGAAGGGGTTGTGGTAAGTGGGTAAAATAGGTGAAGGGGATAGAGAGGAATAAAATCTCAATCATAATATAAATTAGTCATGGGGACAAAAGTACAGCATAGAGAATATAGTCAATAGTTCTATAACAACTTTCTATGTTGGCAGTAACTACACTAGTTGGGGTGAGGATTTAATAATGTATAAAACTGTTGAATCACTATGTTGTATGTTTGAAACCAATATAATATTGCATATCAACTCTACTTCAATTTAAAAAATCAATCAATTGTGAAATAATTTAGTTTTGTGTATCTATTAGAATGGTATCTAGCATATGATAAGGATTCAATAAATATTAGATAGTATTATTTGAAAAAAAACAAGCAAAAGCAGTGGAGTGTCTGTTTACCACCTCCACTGGGAAGCCTTCCCTGACTGCTTCAGATTAAAAAAGGGAGCCATGTGCTTGCTCCCACAACCCCTGATTTTTGTCACAGTGCCAACCACTTTTTCTTGTGGCTACCTGATTGTCCACCTTTTCTGTTAGCCTGGAAACTTCTAAAAGCAGGGGTTGTATGCCTCATCGCATCCCGTCACCTGGCCTCCTCTGTCCCTGGGACCATCTGGCAGAGATACCACGCCCATTTCAATGAAGACTAACTGCAAGCCCACAGAGGTTAATGGAGTCACCCGCAGTAGGGGTTGGCAAACCACATACAGGTCATGGGCCAGAACGGACCCACCACCTATTTTTGTATGGCCTGTGAGCTAAGAATAATTTTACATTTCTAAATAGCTGAAAAAAAATCAAAATAAGATTTCTATTTTGTGACAAGTGAACATGACATGAAATTCAAATTTTTGTGTCCATAAAGAAAGTTGTATTTGTGCACAGCCACAGCCACTTGAAATATCTGTGGTGCCTTCACATTATAAGGTCAGAGTGAGAATAGTGGAGGCAGTGACCATAGGTCTGCAAAGCCAAAAATGTGTGCTATGTGGCTCTTTGCAGAAAAAGTTTGCTGACCATTGATCTAGGGCCGTCTTTACTTCCAGCCAAATGCAGAGTTGCTTCCTCACGGCTCCAAGCAAGAGCTCAACACTACCTGCGGCAAGAAGAGACCCGTCCTCAGAGAGCGCCAGGAACCGCACAGCTTCTGGAAGCTTCTCCAGCAGGCTGTCTCCTTCGGAGGAAACCTGTGCAGAATCAAGGATGCCCATCAAGCATTTCCACATGGCTCAGGGGTCAGGATCAAGAGCTTGTATTTGGCTCAGGTACTCCCCGGATCTGTGATCCTGAGCAAATTCCTTACCCCTGGGGTGCCTCAGGTTCCCCATCTGTTAAATGGGTGATGATGCCGGGACCACCTCACTGTGAGCTGAGATGTGCATGGCATGGTTCCCCTGGGATCCAGGGAGCCCTCCCCAAATCACAGTATAATGTGACCAATTCAGGGACCCAGAGAACATTCCAGCGCTCATTTTCTGCCCCCGCCCAGGACCTCTAGAGATCTCAGATAAGATCAAAACACAGGTTGGAGCCCGAGGAAGGCAGCTTTTCCCTAGTTGCAGAAATGAACTAATT